TATGTAATACTCTCCTTTCTCTCTCTTTCTGCATTTCATTTTTTTATTATTCGAGAAATATAACTTTAATGTGCTATTAACTTTTTAAATCGATTATTATAATTCCAGCATTATATTCGTGATATTTGTGAAACGGATTATGAGAAGTACAAGATGAAGTTAATTATAGATAAATATTCGAAGATATTAAATTTAGATAAAGCAGCTAATATAATTTGGGAAGAGATTGTTACTGAGAAATATGGTTTTGATAGAGCAGAAGTTGAAAAATCATATGTAAGACAAATTACAAAGTATGATTTGATTATGTTTTACGAGGTAATAATATTTTTTTTTTCGCACTGTTTCTTTTTACTTGTATTGCCCATTGTAATCCGTAATAATATTAAAAGAAATTAATTATTAAATAAGAAACAAAATATAAAATAGTACATAATGTTTTGACGTTGAGTTTTTGAGAAAAATAATTTTTAAGATTAAAAAATTAATAGCATCTCTGTTTCCGTTTCTTTCCTATGAAATTCAATCAATGAAATTCACCATAATCGCATTTTGTATCATATATAACTATATTAAAGAGAATAAAAACAAATTTAATGTATCATTTATGAAACAATATAAATTGTAAGAAATATTACACTTAAACGATACTAAAAATCTTTTAATATCGCTTTCACTTTTTTTGAGTGATATGCACTCTTATGTTTGTATGTAAATGCTTTCCAATAGAGAGATTAAGCTAATTGTTTTTCTTAATTGCAAAATGGATTAATTATGTTTCTTTATTTATAATTTTGTAGGAATTTATATGTGACAAAAAGACCATATTGTCAGTGCATGTATTGTCTAAACATGAAGACAAATTAAGTACTGCAAATATATCAAAGACAAAAAAATCTTTCACTGAGAAGAGCGAATCATCAGGTAACAAATTCATCAAATATATATTCGGGATATGTGGCAATATTTATAAATCATGAATTATTAATATATCATCAGTTATTAATATATTCAATCCACTATACAGATAACAAACTTTCTGAATCAGTAATTTCTATATTGAAAAAACATAACATCTCCAAAGCACCTGTTAAGAAAATCGACAACATTGTAATGTTTAAACAAACTTGTAATTATCATAAACAGAAGCCGTTAATTTCTACATTTCGTACAAAAAGCAAACTTCCATGTCGAAAAATATACGAAATCGACATTTCTAGCGAATTTGAATAACCCAAACAAGTTAACAAATAAGTTTGTTCTTAATATAAAGTAAATCTTTATATCAATTTTAATTGATTATAAACATTTATTTGTGTCTTAAGATACACTGGAATATGGCATAGTATCATGTTAAGATTGTAATTCGTTGACCGAACTAAATGTATTAATTTCATTTTATCATTAATATGAATAACATATAAGTAATGAAAGATAATATGATATAATACAATCCAGTCTGGCAGGTATAATTACATAAATACTTACATAATATTAACAATTATTATTATTAAATTAGTATTTTTATTATAGACTTACACAGAGAGACTGCGCTTCCAAATGTAATTGCTGATACAATATATTAAACAATAACAATATATTAAAAAACAAAAATGCATCTATTTCTCAGAGTGCCTTGAAATAATTTTGAGAAATAATTTCGAGATGATAAAAATAATAGAAAATTCAATCACTCACGCTACACCATTAATGCACATTAAAAACTTACATATGAAATATATAAATGCATGACATAATGTAATTTCGTTGATAATGAAATCATTAATATATATTTTGCTAAATAAGATGATAAACTCATGTTTTACTATTTATGTAACTATTTAGAATGTTTATGTTCTTTTATATTCAATAAGTTCATGTATAGTAGCATTTAGTGTGTACTAATCTAGTGTGGATGACCGAACTCGCTATAAAAATAAGAGAAAAAAAGGATAATGTGCATCATCTTTAAAAGCAAAGCAGCCTTATTTTGCCTTTATTCTTTTTTTCATTATGAAATAAATAATATTAAGAATTGGTTAAGAAAAGTATTTGACTCATTTTGTCTTCGCTTATTAATACTGACTTCATGCTTTTAATTGGAGCGCGTCTGTGTAATACTTATATATTCATATACATATATTAGAAAACAATTTTTAGCATACAAAATTCATGTTTAAATTCTCAACAAAATTATAAATACAAATAGATATTTTTATTATTATAGATAGTTTTATATGTATCTACTTTATATGTATTTACTTTCATGACTTCTATTTCTATTTTCTATTTTTGTGTACATATGTAATATATACTTGGCGAAATTTATGCATTTATCAACTTTTCATGTTTTGGTGAAAGAATAACATAGAGTTATTTAAATGCAAAAAACATGAAACAGTTTGAACGCGACTGGACTTTTGGTTACAACTAATTTACAATTAATAAATAAGTAAATAAGTTAATAAGTAATATGTTAAGCAATTAATAATATTATATACAATTACTAACATAGTATTGTATATAATCAATAAATAAGCAGTTAACATATAACATATATTAAATTATTATTAATAATAATTTAATAAGGCTAAATTAATATTATATAATATAATAATTATAAAATTATTAAATAAGAACTGTGTATTGTAAAATATATTTATAATAATATATTATATTATATTACTTATATTGTAGTTTTTATATTTAATATTTTATAGAGAGAATATTACTCGAACGAGTACCATTTAAATATCAAAAATAAATAAACAAAGTGTAAATAAGACCGTGTAAGACCGACAAGCGAGAAATAAAATCGCGTACAAAATAGTTAAAAATAAATAATGAATTAATACACATAATGAATTAATATAAAGTATGAATTTATATAAAGTAAAAGTGAAAAGATCTAAATTTGTCAAGTTCATAGGAATCAAATTTTCGTTATATATAATAAAAAGTTTTTTTAAACGCAAAGTAGAAATGATATGACATAATACGTTAGAAAGGTTGCAAATACATCATTAAATAAAATAAAATGTCAAAAATAAATTTATCATTTTTCCACTTGCAAATAATTTTGATATTTCTATTATAAGAAAGAATTATTATAAATTTTATAATTTAAATTTAACGTAACAAACTTACCATTTAATTATTTTTAAATATAAATATTTAACATAAAAATAATACTTTTAATATTTATATTTAGAAATAATCGAAATAATAAATTTGTTATAATTAATTTAAATTATATTATAAAATTTTTTTCAAAATAATCCGAATAAATTATATATTTATTCTTAAGATCCAATCGTAATAATCTTCGTTATTAAGATTTGTACAATATTCACATTATTGCATAAACATGAAAAGTATAATAACTTTTATTATTAGAGAAAAATTATACGCCAATACTATGAATTAATCAATAATATGAACCTAAAATTCTGATAATATACGAATAGATATACGAATAGATATACGAATTCAGCTAGCAATTCAGCAAACATCGTATGCCGCTGGCTTAAAAGAAGATTCAGAATATGAATCTATATCCGAGAATTCTATGAATTGATTCTCGATTCATAGATCATTCGAGGAATTGCAATAAATAATTGATGCATCATCAAAAAAGCATCGATTCTCGACGCATCGAATCAAGAATCGACATCCCTGATAAAAGGCATAGATTTCTTTTTTTATATATATAAATTAAATCAAAATAAAATCATATTTATTAAAAATGTATTACAGTATATTAAAAATTTTTAATCATTACGACCAGTGAAACAAGCTTTCTATTGCCTTACCTATCTATTAAAAGAAAAAGTGTGAACATATGACAAAGTATTGAGAGCAAACACTTGTAAGTATGTTAAAAAGTTAAATTATCATTGCATTAATTTCTTTTATAGCAAACATTCCTTCTTTAAATTTTTTTAACATGTATTATATGGAATTATGCAAATACAAAATTATTTTAATGCATAATGAATTTTAAATTTTTGTTTCTAATGAAACAATCGTAAAAAAATTTATAAATTATAAATTTTATGTTACCAAAACAGCATATTACCAAACAATTGACCAAAATCCATCTACTTTGCAATTTTGATTAGTCTTACATAATTTATTAAATGTAGTTTTAGATGAAAAACCAATAATCTCTCTGTCTTCTTGTATTCTGAATGTAAATGTTGACTCATGTGTTCCAATGAAATATCTAATTAAAATAAAAAAGGCTTATATGAAAAAGATATTGTATTGTATTGTTACAAGCTGTGTATTTCAAACATTTATTAAAAGAATAGTTTGTGTACTTAACATCTTATTATCAATTTTATCTTATAATCAATTGTTATATAAATATTCTTACCTGGCATATGAACAGATTATCTGATCAATAATCGCGACTCCACCATCTTTAAATTTATTTATCACATAATTAGATGGTACAAACTTCATGACTTTGTATTGAGGTAAATATGACTTGAGTTCTTCAAACTCTGAAAATTATTATTTAAATATTATTTAATTTTTCCTCATGTACAATATATCTTTTCAATCATAACTTCAATATCAAAAGTTTTCTTTAGTAATATTAAAAAATATTATTATAATATTTTAACATTAAGTATTTGAATAACAAGGAATTAATTTTCTCAAATTAAAATTTTCTTGTAAAATAACATTCCTTGTGAAGTAATCTCAAGGAAATGATTTTAAAATATTATTTTCTTTTGAAATCGATTTTAAATTTATCAACTGTTTTAAAATTTATGAAATATTATAAAATATTCAAATATATACAAGTTGAAGATACCATTTTGCTCTGCATCTGTTGCAACAAACAATAGGCTTAATCCTAACTTATCCATATTTTTTTGTAATTGCAAGGCAGTATCCATTATTGTCGGCACTGATGCCTTGTGAGCTATGACAAAATCACGTCTCCTAAGATGAACCGCCAGATACGGTCCGCCCTTTGCATTTCGCCGAGACTAAAAATTAAAATTAAGATTAGAATTATAATTTATTAATATATTATAATATAAATCAACAATATACACTTTTTCTTCAATCCAATTTATGGGTCGTTTCGTGTTAGCATCTTCATTTGTAGAATTCAAAAAAGTTTTCCTGTAATTTTCTGCAATATCATAAAGTTCAAAATTATAACGCATACTGCGTCGAGCCCTCCAGTATTCTCTAGATCCATATTCATCATGTAAAGCTATCTCCATGTGATCAAACATTACGGATCTATATAAAAATCTCTGATAAGATTCTTAAAAAAGGAAATTTTAGAAAGTTAAAGTCTTTAAAAAATATCCTAAATATTTTTACCTGTATTGCATTGGCATGAGATTTTGAGAGAGATCATATGCCATGCCATGGAACTTGAGACACTTCACATTTCGAACAGTAATATTATAATAGCCCCAGAATGGGCCACTATACAAATGTTGTCCCAGTTTATGATATCGTAAAGAGTCATGATCACAGTCCACCAGTTCATTCTTATCCTCAAATTTACCTGTCTTGAACATTTCCTCATCATTTTGAAGAATGTATAGACAATCAAGTTGTATCTCTCTGCCTTGTGAGTACTCTAAAATCAAGCTGTTATACAGTCAGGTAAATCATTTATCAAATTCTCATAATGCTAAAAATAAAAAAGAGTTAATAAACTTAAATACCATACAGAACATTGTTTTTATATTTAAGCAATTTAGAACAAATTTTTTTATAACCACAGATTATTCAAATTGTATCTTTTAAATTATTGAGAGTAATAAAGTATGAACTTTAGAAAAATTAAATTTCCTCTACGATTCTTATCTCTATGATGAAGCAGAATATTCTGTATTTGCTGGTATTTTAAGCATTATTTTTTAAATATCTGCAAATATATTTAAAATATTTTAAATTTCACTCTAACTAAACTCTAACTAAACTGAAAATTGTAAATAATTTAAATTCATGTAATACTCTTTTATCTTATTTTACACTTTGACTTTAAAGAATATCGATATATGATTAAGAACTATTCTATATATATTCGAATTGCATAAATATGTGATTCCCAATTATTTTGAAATTAATAAAAGTAGAAAAGTGTACCTTCCATAAATTTATACATCTCAATAACTGGTATATATTGTTGTAAACTTGTAATATCAAAAAAGGTACTCCAAGGTAGACGCTCCTGAGATCCTATATTTTTACTTTGCCAATGATATAATTTACCTAGAATAGATCAGAAGGTATAAATAATTACCTACGAATTCTATATTTTGTGAAGTACATCTTTAGTTCATATATTACCCCATGGTGGTAAAACTAGTTGCCATTGAAACTCTTTATCCTTTTCGATCAGTCTTTTTAGGAAAACAGCGACACGAATGTACACATCTCTCCTCAGATTAAAGCCTTCTGCGGGATTCACATCGTAAAGAATATAACTGTTTAAAAAAAATCCATAAATTTTTCATTTTTGTTCGGAAAAGAGAAGTATAAAAATAAATGAATAATAAGTGTTTCTGTTCAACTCAATTAATCAAATAGATGTACAATTTGTAAAATTTAATTCCTGACCGTTTTCCAGTGAAGCGGTTTTGAGCGGAGCCTGTTTCCACATCCTTGGTACATTCGTTGGATATCTCACAAAAACCGGACTCGTTGCCGTTCGTGATGCAAGCAGTTAAAATGATGGTGCAAAAAATTTTCAGGATTGACATCTCTAACTTGTAAATCTATTCGTTTCATAAAATTTCCAACGAACGCTCGTTTATATCTCGCGTTGTAAATAACCTCCAACTCATCGACTTGTGCTGACTGCAGGACTATCTGTTAGTTGATTTCTTGCACCGTTCATTTTTTCTCTTTTTTCCTTCATGTTAGAAAGAAAAAAAAGAGATAAAGTATGTAAAAAAAATTGAGCTAAACAATCGGGTGACACCCGTTTGACTACGTCCTGATTGACCACTAGCCACTCACAGAAGCCAGCACCTAGAATTTTTCCACTGTTCAAG